CCCTATCCTAGAATACCTTCCGCCGCCACTGCGGCCAACCCTTAGAAGAAAAAGTGTCTGGATGCCAGGGCTGCAAGTGGCTGCAAATTTTCACTGGCTCCCCTAATAGATAGTGTCTTAGTGCATGCGATACAGCATTATTTTCAGTTCATCCTCGTAAAACTTTTTTTGCTGGGCTTGGTTAATTCAGTGAAGGTAATGTTCAGTGGTTGAAAAAAAATATAAAAAGTTAACCTAATTATAAGACATTTTGAGCTGATTTTGTCTGCTTGCTTTCTATGGCGGAATCGTCTAAACATCTAAATTTCACTTTCCATGCAAAATGGATGCTCAACACCTAGCAATTTCATCGTTCCGCAAAATATTCAAAGAGCGTAAAAATCGGCTGTGATTATCCCCCTTATGAAGTGTTACGGAACGCTGTCTTTAACGATACTTTTGTCTACGAAAAAATGTCTCCTGAGCCATGCAAATGCACTAATCGTAATCTTTGATGAATTTTCTGTCGACTAGTATGCGTTGTTTTCCAATTTTCGGAAAAAAGTGTCTTTGAGGTTTCGCGAGGCTAGACCGGCCCGATCGCCTACCGTGCGCCGCGCCGCCCGGACGCCGCGCGGCGTCACCCACCCGCCCACTGCGCGCCCACTGCGGCACCCGACCGCCCGGACAAAAACCTCTGTAGCGCCGGTCAACCCTGTGCTAGCGCCTTAATTCTTTCACGATGCGACTCAGAAATGATTAGGGAAGGCTATGGTATGGTGGACTAACGGGCACACACTGTGTTAAGTGCTGTAGGTGAAACGAAAGCATTTTATTCTGAGTAAAAACTGCGATTGCAGCATGATGATAAATAGTCAGATTACCGCCAAAGCGAATAAGATACGGCTTTTTGTGACCCGGCATTAGAAGCAGAAGGCTTTGGGGATCATTCCCATGCATAATTTTTTCAATTTGTATGAAATGAACGCAAACCAGCGGCGTTTGAACTTGCGAGTGTCTGACCGTCCTTTTACGACCTAGAAAATGTCACGACTTCTGACGATTATACACGAGGCCGGTTTTGACAAAAACATGAAAACCATGTGATTTCAGATGCCCCAAACATTTGTCTACTCGGCCATATCGCAATTAACTCGATTTGGTAAACTTGACTTTTGGGTATTTATGGCCACTCGTGAACCCCATTTGCATCACTGTGCATTCGGCGCCCTCCAGGCAGACCAGTTAGCGCCCTCATGGACATTATCACACAGCATCCTCCTGATCTGTCTCGCCCTCCACACTTGTCAGCGCCCTCCTGACCTGGCAGCGCCTATCGTATTATAGCGCCCTCCTCACCGTATGTACAGTGCCCTCCTGACCTGTCGCCATCCTCCTCACTGTATAGCGGCCTCCTAACCATGCAAAGCCCTCCAGACCGGCGCCCTCTACGTTCAGCGCCCTCCTGACAAGTCGGTGCCCTTTTCACCGCAGACGGCCCTCCTGATCTGTCGGCGCCCTCCTGACCGTACATCGCCTTCCTCACCTTGTCCGCGCCCTCCTCTTTATACAGTGTCCTCCTGACCTGTCAGCGCCCTCGTCACTCGTATAGTGCCCTTCTCATCGTACAACATCCTCCTCACCATGGGCGCCCTCCTGACCTGTCGGCGCTCTCCCCACCATACAGCGCCCTGCTGCCTTGTCGGCGCCCTCTTCACGGACAGCGTTCTCCAGATCTGTCGCAGCCCTTATCACCGTGCAGTGCCCTCCTAGTCCTGACCTGTCAGCGCCCTCGCCTGTCGGCGACATCTTCGCGTTCAGCGCCCTCCTGACCAGCCTGCGCTTTTTGCAACGCATAGCGCCCTCATCACCATGCATCGCCCTCCCGACCAGTCAGCGTCGCCGTTCATCGTACAGCACCCTCCTGACCTGTCGGCGCCCTCCTCACAACACACCGGCCTTCTGACCGGTAAGCGTTCTCCTCACCATGCAGACAATGCAACACTTGACAATTAGGAAAACGTTAAGTAGCCTATGCTTAAAGGAAAAGGGCCACCTTTAACCCGCGCCCTGCTGGGGGGGTGTTTGAACACCCCCCCTTGTGGTTTTTCGCGAATATCTCAAAAACGGCGGCGCGGAGCGCCGCCGTTTTTGGTACACCTTATCATACATCAATTCTACACATGTTGTGAAAATTTCAGACCAAGGTCATTCAAGGTCAGGTCACCAGGTCACTTGAAGTGACCTCACCTCATAAAAAGTTTCAATGTCTGTCATAGCTACACCGAGTGACCGATCGCTTTGAAACTTTCAGCGATTGCTAAGAGCAATAGCATGTACAAAATGTATATCTCAGAATTTTGATATCGATGACCTAAGGTCAGGTCAATTTTGCGACCTCCCCATTATAAGTCAATGGGAGAAAATTGAAATGCGCCTCTTTTGGACAAAAGACATTATAACACTCCCAAACACCGAATTACAAGTGGCTTAGACACACTGAACATGAAAATGGTGTCCGTGACCCTTGTTTATGCCCTGAGGTCATCTTAGGTCACGAATGGTATCTAACAGTTTTTCGCAAATAACTTTTGATAGAGGCATGCTAGAGCGATGAAAACGCCGTAGATGTGTTCAGCTCGACGATACGGATCGACTGATATGCAACATGACCCTTTCCGGTCAGGTCATGACCTTGACCTGAGGTCAATTTTCAAGTTGACCTTTCAAGGTCAACTTATAGTTCATTCGATGCGTCTTGACGAGAGGAACACGATGCCGGTAAAAGTAAGCTCGTACAAGGCTTGGGTCAAAAGTTATTGCAGAAAAACTGTTTCCGAAAAAAATCGGCTATTTTTGCAAGTTTTTGCCCCCTGCAGGCAAAACCGTTGACGTTAGGTCAAATCTGAGAGAATTACTCAGAAAGGGCTTTAATAGGGCTATCGAATGCACTTTTCCGCGGCGCTGTAGCTCTATTGGTTCTCGAGTTATGCGTTGGCTTCTTGGAAATTTTCGACATTCGACCTGGAAATCGGCGAAATTTTGCCTTCAATGACCTCTGGTGACCTGACCTTTGACCTGACCAAAAAATTGACCGAAGTGATTTCGTCATTATTTTTGACGCTCTTTCGAACGCCGCCTTCCGCGTATCGCTACGTGGCCCAGGAGCCGAGTTACAAGGGGGGGTGTTCAAACACCCCCCCCCCCCCAGCAGGGCGTGGAAATCCAGGACCCCCAGCCGGGCGCGGGTTAACATGGGGATTGAAACTGAGATAGCCATCTTGTAGCCCGTGTCCGAAAACCTATCTGTCTACCTCCTTACGGCCGATTTCGGCCTCCATTCGTAGTTATCGGCGATTTTAAAAGAAAAAACGCCAGGAATGCGTCCTTATCCCAGGAATGCGTTCTTATCCGACAATACAGCCACCCGCGGCGAGGCTTTGGTTTTTTACCAATCAGCTCCAACCAGCTCAGCTTTAACCAATCAGCTTATCTGACACAATCCGACGAGTCTGTCTTCTGAACGCTGATTGGCTTGAGTGTGACGTCATCGCTATGCCATCATACAGTAGGTGCCGTAGAGAGTATCAACATAGTACCAATATGTTAAATAGTTTTAAATACTTTTTAGCGAATTGTGCACTTCTGGCACCAGTTTTAAAAAGAAAATGAAAAATAATAATGTCAAAATGAAAAACAACGATATCTTCATATTTCACGAAGGTGGCCCTTTTCCTTTAACCCTCGCCGGCACAGGCCATTTTGCGTCATTCGACGGCACAAGGGGGGGGGGGTACGACCCCCCTCGCGTTTGGCCCCTGATTGAGCTAGAGCTTCGCGGAAAAACGAGCGTGTTGCCCGTCACGAGAGGAAGCCGATGATATCCAATTTTAAGATCCTAGGTCATCGGGTGACCTTCTAGGTCCGGTCAATGACCCAAAAATCAGGATTATCGGGACCTGTTAGAAAGTCGTAGTGTGGCTGCTATGGAGTTCTCCGGGGTGCTGATCACGAATATCGTGTTAGTTTTGATCAGAGATGATGTCTTTAAGCATTTAGACCAGGTCGGGTCAGGTCAGGTCAGGTCAACCGGTAGAGGTCGTGACGGGTATTCGTAATACGTGTCAACCGCCTCTGACAGCTTCGTAACATGTTACGAAGGCACCAAAACTACTTCGTAAATGTTCAAATGGTTGCTAAATTCGAAATCAGCTCCAAAAACTGGCCTAGAAAGATGTAAAACTCGAAAAAGTGAACCGAGGTCACCAAAGGCCAATGAACTGACCTGACCTTCAGGTGACCTTGACATCCACCCTAATGCATAAGAGCAACATCAAATCACATGTTTGAACGTTTGAAACCACGAAAAGCTTGCAAACGCGCGGCTAATGCGAGCCGACATACGCCGAATCGCGATTCTGGCCAAACATGGTCTCGGAAAGTAGGTCACAGCCCACAGGTCAAAGGTCATTTGGGTCAGGGTCATGAAATTTTCAGGATAGGTGTACAATTGATCAATGCGAGGGTACTGAAAGTTCCGTCGCGATCGGCCGTTTTTTACGCCAGTTATTCGCGAAAAACCTTAGGGGGGGGGGGGGTTGCATCAACTCAACTCCCTGTGCCGGCGAGGGTTAAAGTGATTTTAGGCGCAAAGTAGTAATGAAGCAATTTCCGGAAAGTAGAAGGATGACACCGTTTCCAGCGTTTCCGGAACGTTTCCGGAAAGGAACTTGTTTACAACCGTGACCCTCAAAATCGTACCCGCAAAATCGGCCAAACTTGCGGGGAAGGCCAGCTGACAAGTGTACGCCCCCCGGTGACGTCACGGGTAATGTTAAACAGTCGGGCGCCCGGCACATAGGAAAGCTCGGGATGACAGCCCCCTGCGACTGATAACATAATCTTTGAGTTATTACCGGTTTTGTCGAAAAAAAAAATAATACCTACCACGCAGTCTGCTGAGGGCTGTACCTCCAGCGGCCGGTGCCGTCTCAGCGTTTTTATGTACCCCTCGTTCCCAGCGGCCGTTACTACTACTGGAATACGGAGACGGAGGTGGTATCCTGGCTGCCGCCGGGACACCCGCGCGCCAGGCCGGGCGCCTGCGCGGCCGCGCTGCGGCTTCAGCTGCAGGCGGCGCAGCGCGAGGGGCAGGCGGGCCAGCCTACCGAGCCGCACACCGACACCGCTCGGCCGGCCAGCGACCAGGTACGACCGCTCGACAGGGGCCGCAGACGCAGCCCCCGCTCACGAGCTCCAGAATCCCTTTACCGTGACGTCACCACGGCGGTAGAATCTCCCTTCACGCATAGGCATGCATGCAAATTTCATCATCTTTCCAGCGAGCTGGAGAAAAAAAAAAACAAGGATTATGTGTCATCAAAAGTTGTACCAATGTAAAAATGAGTTCGCCTCCTTACTATAAATGGGGCTGAAACTAAAAAAATAGGACTATATCGAGCCAAAATCAGCAATTCAAATGACCCCTTCATTTGAACGTGAAGGATTTCCTCTAATGACGTCACCACGGCGCCTTTATTTCCCTAGTGAACCAACCTGAGTAGTAAAGGAATCTTGCGCAGAGGGACGGACGGTCAGCCGGGGGTACAGAGGGACGCGGTCAGCCGGTACAGAGGGACGGACGGTCAGCCGGGGGTACAGAGGGACGCGGTCAGCCGGTACAGAGGGACGGGCGGTCAGCCGCGGGTACAGTCGTCGGTTGTGCAGTTGTAGCGCAGTGGTGGCCCTGTGCGGCGGTAGTGCAGTGCGTCTCTGAGGGATCCGCAGCGCGCTGAGAGTGCTGTCGGCGATCGGCCGCCCCCAGGAGATGTCGGATGACGAACACGACCGAGAGAGGCAGAGGGAGCGCGACCACCGCCGAGAGCGAGAGCGGCGGCCCCGAGAGCGGGCCGCGGCGCGCGCCAGAAAACGGCCCGACGAGCTGGACCCCATGGACCCGGCCGCCTACTCCGATATCCCCAGGTGAGCTCCGACAGCCCCAGGTGAGTCGCCTGCTCCGACAGACCCTGGCGAGCCGCCTGCTGAGACAGAGAAGATATGTTCATTGAGCAAAGCTTCTATCGCCTATGGATCTGAATCGTGAATCTTAAATTTATACAAACTTTTAGAAGGAATGTATCTGTACGGATGCGTTTTATGCGGCCGTCTGGTGTGCGACTGCTCTGTGAGCGGACGGCGGCGTCTGTCCACAGAGGCTCGTGGTCGGCTGGCCTGGAGCGTGACGTGAAGTCGGGCGTGGACGCGACGGCGTCTGGGCCGCTGTTCCAGCAGAGGCCGTACCCGAGCCCGGGCGCCGTGCTGCGCGCCAACGCCGCCTCCCGGCCCGCCGACGCCGGCGACGGCCAGTAGCGAGCGGCGGCAGCGTGCCGGCCGGACTGCCAGCGACGCCGGGACGCCCGGCCGTCTGGCTCCATGACTCTGCTGATCTCGTGCTGAGCCGGGACTGAACTTTGGAACTTTGGCGCTTAAATAAATGTGTACACTTTCATTATCCGTAGCTCAGTTCACAACTGCGAAAACATGGCGCTAGCGGTGTCATTCATCCACGCTTTCCAGCAAGGTGTTCCTTAGTTTTTTTTATAAGAAATTTGGCAGAAGCAGAAAAAACTTCTGAGGCGGCTGCGACACATCACTATTGTGACACATCACTATTGTATTGCATTCGACATCTAACTTAAGGTCTTATTGAACCCAACCCTAGCCCTAGCCCTACACTATCACTGCACTACCCTTACCCCATTCCTTGGCCTTAGGCGTCGGGTGGAACATTGAAAGGGAGCGCCAAGTCTTCCAAAAATATGTTGCCAGCCGTACGTGGTAGTGCATAACAGTGGCGGATCCAGGGGGGAAAATGGGCATTTGCCCCCCCCCCCCCCCAAACGGCATAATTTTAACATTACGCCTATGGACGAGGCATGGAAAGAATCGATAAATTGTTATGGATTGCCCCCCCCCCCAAAAAAAAAAACTGAGCTGGATCCGCCTCTGGTGCATAATACCACAGAGACGCGCGGTTAAACCCAATCAGTGGCAGGGTTGTTGTCATTATTCCCTCTTTTTTATATATCTCCGAGGCGGCGGGAGATAATATGCTGGAATTTTCCGATTGTTGCTCCAATTGTACTAAACCGTGCATTTTATTCAAATTTCAAGTTGATAACTGTACCTACCTAATAGGGCGGTTTCAGGGCTCACTTCGGGAGGCTTTCCTCCGACACTACCGAGATACCAGCATAGCCAGTGCTGTCGGATAACCCGCTACTAGCACAGCCGGTGCCGTCAGACCCGCTTACGCCGCCAGTGTCGCTGGATAATCAAACTACTAACGCCGCCAGTGTCGCTGGATAATCAAACTACTAACGCCGCCAGTGTCGCTGGATAATCAAACTACTAACGCCGCCAGTGTCGCTGGATAATCAAACTACTAACGCCGCCAGTGTCGCTGGATAATCAAACTACTAACGCCGCCAGTGTCGCTGGATAATCAAACTACTAACGCCGCCAGTGTCGCTGGATAATCAAACTACTAACGCCGCCAGTGTCGCTGGATAAACCGCTGTACTAACGCCGCCCGGCTCTGACCACGGATCCGTTCAATTCCCGCTTACTTCAAGAGTAGGGACTAGCCTGGTCAGTGGTCAATGTGCGTTATAGCCGATAGCTTACGGCGGAGATATATTAGCGAAGCCGCCTGCCACGGCTGGGCGCGGCTGGTGGCCGCCACGGGAGCGCTGCTCCACGTGCCACAGACGCGCTACAGGGATAGACCGGTGACGGCCGACGGTGGTGGACGCCGCATTCAAATATCCATCGAGGCGTCAGGCGTCCTTCAACACTCCAGACATGCGCCAAAACAGGCGCAGCTGTAACAATCCGGCCACACAGCCCACTGTTGGCACGTCATTCATGAAAAAAAATGCATAACTAGCTAATCACATGATATAAACCTCATCACCGGACGGCTATTGTCCGTTTAAAAATGCGCCTAAATCTGGCTTCGAGCCCGAAACCTCATGCATGCATCACAGCCCACGAGACCGTCTGGTCTTTAGAATGGCCGTGCCAAATTCTAGGCCAGCGTCATCGCGCCCAATGCCATTTGCAGAAAAGATGGCTCAGTATCTGCGGCAGGGGAGTCGGTAACGGCGGTAGGGCCCTCAGTAGACAGTAGCTGCGGTAGGGGCCTCAGGAGACAGTAGCTACGGTAGGGGCCTCAGCAGACAGTAGCTGCCGTGGGGCCCTCAGTAGACAGAAGCTGCGGTAGAGCCCTCAGCAGAGAGTAGCCGCGGTAGGGCCCTCAGTAGACAGAAGCTGCGGTAGGGGCCTCAGGAGACAGTAGCTACGGTAGGGCCCTCAGTAGACAGTAGCTGCGGTAGGGGCCTCAGTAGACAGTAGCCGCGGTAGGGCCCTCAGTAGACAGTAGCTGCGGTAGAGCCCTCAGTAGACAGTAGCTGCGGTAGGGGCCTCAGTAGACAGTAGCTGCGGTATGGGCTCAGTAGACAGTAGCTGCGGTAGGGCCCCCAGGAGACAGAAGCTGAGGTAGGGGCCTCAGTAGACAGTAGCTGCGGTGGGGCCCTCAGTAGACAGTAGCTGCGGTAGGGGCCTCAGTAGACAGTAGCTGCGGTAGGGGCCTCAGAAGACAGTAGCTGCGGTAGAGCCCTCAGTAGACAGTAGCTGCGGTAGGGGCCTCAGTAGACAGTAGCTGCGGTAGGGCCCCCAGTAGACAGAAGCTGCGGTAGGGGCCTCAATAGCTGCGGCAAGTCCTCAGTACCCTCAGAAGCCGCGGTAAAGCCTCAATATCCGCGCTCTCGAAACACGAACCTGTCGCTATCGACGCCCAGCTCCTCCAGAAGGATGCCCATCGGCGTCCGCCTCAGCGCCAGTGCGTCCAGCCGGTTGGTCAGCTTGTTTCTGATGTTACGAAGGCGCATAGATGCATGTACCAACATTACTGCGAAGAAAGTGATCAATGAAGGTGAATTCAAGAAAAAATGATCCGACACACATTGACAAGACGATCACCCCCTAATTTCTCGGAAAGTTACCGGCCGATTTTCAAAATTCAAACGGCGTTGGATAGCCCTACCACGGAACTACCTTGCGACCAAATTTCATTGGCCTCGGTCCAACCGATGACGTCACAGGTCATGTCAAAGGTCGAATTTTCACCGTTTACAGGCATTTCAAGAAATGTGTTGTAAAATCGAGTAAAAAGCATGTTATTGAAAATCATCGATGTGGGAATCGTCCGTTAAACTCGTATTTTGCTATTTGAGGCCATTGATACCAGGTCAGGTCACTGAGGGTCACAATACGAAAGTGTCGTGTGATACATGTTTTATGGTCCATTTTACATGACAAATGCGATTATGTGGGCCAGGCAACATTTGGGGCCAGTTTAGGTTACCTGTGTTCTGTTCAGGGCGGTGTTTCACGGGATGCTGCTACCACGCTGCTATCAAATTGCGCGAGCTGACGTCACACTTGCGGTAGTGTTGGAGCAATGGGCCTGTTGATGTTTCCATGGAAACCCAATTTGACACGTGTAAAAGCAGCGTGCTGCTATCACCGGTGAAACAGGGCCCTGGTGAAGATCAGGTCAAATTTTAAAGTTGATATTTTTGAATAAAATGGGTATCGATTCGATGCAGCTCGTCACGGGGAGTTTAATGGTGGTCGTTGTTTTGCGCTACGTTGTCTAGAAATGCTACAAAAAAAAAAAATGAGTTTGACAATTTGACGTAATTAATTTTGAACAGTGTTTTCGCTTTAACTTGGCCAAAAAAGGAGGTATCAGGCTCAAATATGGTATGGAAGTTGGGAGGGACTATCACATATATTCCGGTTTTTACGAAATTCGAAAAACTTTTGGGATTATTTGGCTATTATCTAAAACAAATTTTTTTTCATTTTTGGGGGTCAAAATCCAAACATTTCAACAATCCGAGATAACAGTTTTACAGTACTTTAATTCTACACCTGTCTTAAACATTTTCTCTTACTTCAAAGATGTAGGCCTGAGCTCTTCTCGTCAAACCTTTTTCGGTCGAAAATGGCAGAACATTACGTCATTCTGACGTCATTTCCGGCCAACCTATCATACCCTCTGGAAAAACGTTTGGTCGCAATGTGTAAAACTAATGCCCGGAAAGGTCCTGAAAGTTTGGTGACGATAGATGCAGTCGTTTAGGAGATATCGAAGGAAAAGGACAGGGGCCGTTTCGCCCCCCCCCCCCTACGGGGCGCGGGTTAACCCTCGCCCGTATAGGAGGGGGGGGGGGGGGGTCGAAAGAATCCCCTCGGTTTTTCGCGAATAACTCGCGTAAAAAGCGGTCGATTGCGACGAAACTTTAAATGCTCTCGAATTAATCAATGTTACACCTACCCTGAAATTTTCATGGCCCTGACCCAAATGACCTTTGACCTGTGACCTATTTTTCGAGACCATGTTTGGCCGGAATCGTGATTCAGCGTGTGTCGGCTCGCATTAGCCGCGAGTTTGCAGTCTTTTCGTGGTTTCAAACGTTCAAACATGTGATAGGTATTTAAGCATCTTATTTCATGTTTTCGAGCGCAACATTGTTTCGCTATTTTTCCTATCGTGAAACCCATTGACCTATAAGCGACCCTCCCCGGTCGCTGATCGGGACGAGTTGCCTATAAGCGTTTTTTTTTTTTTGCAATGGTTTGCCAAAATTCTCACTACAAATAAATTGGTGGATATCGGGGCAGGAAATGGATAGATTCTGGTAGGAAAATAAACGATCTCTCCGAAAATCAATCCAGTAATACCGTGGCACCTATAAAGCGTGAGCAGCGTCGGTTCAAATTGAGGGTGTCGCTAATTAGGTAGGGGAGAGTGGGGCAAAGCGGCCACCCGGGGCAAAGCGGCCACCCATCGTTTCAGCCCTCCACAGCTGGCTTCAGTTCCAATTTATGGTTTCCAATAATGCTTCTCTTTGCGGTCGTTCGAATGAGCCAGACCGGGGTTTTAGGCCCATCGCCACACGTAAAAGCATTTCTTGCCAGGTTACCAACTATGTAAACACTTTTTAAATGTTGTTTTATTCCATAACTGTTTGGAATTTTTATAAGCGTTCTTGTCCATGCATTGTGTGGTTATCGTACATGTCTTCCACCAATTTTAATGCTGTTTAACCCCACCAATAGCTGAGCTGAAATATTTTTGTCTCGGACGGTACGCGCGGGGCAAAGTGGCCGGGGCAAAGTGGCCAGCCCCCAAATGACCATAAGTTGTTTTCATCTGGATAAAAAACATGATTTATGTTCAAATATGTCGTCATGCATTCATCTTGGCCACTTTCCGGTTACACGAGTTACCAAATAATGCAATTAAATGTTTTTCCATGAAAATCTTTTCTTTGTTTACCTACAGGTGGGATGCTGACAAAGTAAGCATCCATCCTCGCTTAAAGGTAGTGTGCCAGCTTTCTTGGACCGTATGGAGTTAATGGCCCAGATAAGGAGAACCGGATTTTTAGAACTTATTCATACCTTCAAAACTCATGGAAACGTCTTAAATTCTTCAAATTTTGAGTACCCCAGTGCGAAATTCGCCCCGACGGGTTGTCGGTCGTACCCCAACCACATTTCACACCACTATGAGCAATAAATGCACACACTGAAATCGCTATTACCGATATGCTCATCCAATCAAGTTTCGATAAACCCGTTCATCACCATCTCCTGCGGTTTCGAACACGCCTGTTAGGTGGCTTCTGATGCTCGTCGAGGTCGGAATTTCCAAATACGCGTGGTGCGTCGGGCCGCGCGCTCTGACTTCGGCCAACAAAAATGCGTCAGCTGATCATTGTCATTTCTGCCACTTGCGTGTGGTGAAATGGGGTCATAACTTATAAGACGGCTTTTTCATATCAATTATTTTACATAAAATCATATTTCAAACCATAAATAATGTTCGACAGCCAAATAAAAGAAACAGTACCAATACGGGCTTACAGTTTAAGGCTCGACATTGTGTTGTCTACGATTAGACAGCTGATAACTCATTCCCGTACGTCGTATGGTCGTAACACTATAATGACCTTTGCTTATTGTCACAAGTGCGCCGCATTCGCGATTGTTGCCCGACGCCTGTTTGCAGGTGAGCCCACTACAGTTGTTATACATATCTAAAAACCGATAAACTTTTAGGCGAAAAAGGCACTATTCCAGGTCCATTTTTGATTTTTTTTTGCGATATTAGGTAAAAACAGAAGCTTCTTATCCTAGGAAAAATAAAATGGGAAATCTTTTAAAGGTGGCACACTACCTTTAAACCTTGTCACCATCAAATACCCTAGTCGTATATGAGGCAACCATTCTGTTTCTCATATCGAGACTTGAGAAGTCGCCGGTGGCCGCTTTGCCCCAGGGTATGGGGCAAAGCGGCCAATATGCATAGGTTCAAAGTTTTGTTAATATCTTCAATATGTGAACGCCTTTGGAAATGAAACGCAGTTGAAATAAAAGGCAATTTAATAGGGATCACATTGGTATAAAAAAAGAATCTTTTCTAAGTTTCAAAATCAAGCGTCGGCATCGTAAGAAGCGTTAAGGTGGCCGCTTTGCCCCACTCTCCCCTATCATACCCTAAGGTTATACCATATAAACCGAAGGAGGGACAACTGCTTACCAAATTGTCACTCCACCTACTGCCCTAGCCCCACAGGAAGAAATGATTGACACCGCTGCAAGTTTTCAGATTTGAAAAATCGCGAATCATGAAGATGAGGATTTCACGAAGTTACCTCTCCTTACCCTATGGCGTGCGCTTGGCATCCGGAAAACGTCATCCTCTGGATATCCTCAGTCGGAAAATTATTTGTGACAACCTACGCTCAGTATGCGTCGTTTAGGGGACAAGCATCCGCGGGATAATATCCCTCACTTCAGCGTTCGGCATCACGGTCATCCCTGGACGGCCACAGTAATTTCACTTACTTTTGATTTTCGAGCTTGCAAACACCTTTAGTTATTTATGATATTCCATCACACCCAATCTGTCATCAAATCTTACAATCAATAACATAAATCCTAAATAATCCGCCGCCGCCGCCGCCGTGTGCGACGTAGTCACTTTGTAGCGCTCATTGCGGCGGCGCCCGTTGACCTACGGCCGTGAAAGTTTACAGAAATGTGGGGAACCTTTACACGTATGTCGTATTAAATTTTGGACGTGATGCGGCCGGGGGTGCGCCCTTGGCGCGTGCAAAGGTTCGCTCGCCATAGGGTTAGCATTGTAAACGGGAATAGCGCACTTTTGCTCGGAAACGGCAGAATTTTGTCCGAATTTTGACTACGCCAATCAGTGGCGGCGGAATACCTTCAATTAGCCCTCGCCCTGTTGGGGGGGCCAATTTGGCCCCCCTGTGGTTTTCCTGAATAGCAAGAAAACGGCGGCGCGCAGCGCCGCCAAATTTTGAGTACCTTCCCGGGCATCAATTTGACACCTTCACACCGAATTTCAAGTCTTAGGTCACCTTAGGTCAGGAGTTATTGAGGTCAAACTGAGGTCATGTTCGAGCAAAAATGAGCAAAAAAACATGCAATCTTGAAACGCTCACCAAATCTACAGTAACAAAGCAATTTCAAAGTTCTTTATATGGTCTAGTAGACAAAAAGCAGCGCTACAAAACTGCTATCTAAAAATCCAAAAAACCTTCCGAATTTCGAAAAAACGGAATAAATATGATAGTGCCTGTGCTCTTCTATATACATACCAAATTTCAGATCGATATCTCGTTTTTTGGCCAAGTTATAGCGAAAAAAAAAACTTCAAAAATGATGACGTCAAATTTTTTAAATCAATTTTTAGCGATTCTAGACCACGTAGGGCAAAACAAAGACCACCATTGATCTCTCCGTGATGAGCTGCATCGAATCGATACCCATTTTATGCAAAAATATCAACTTTGAAATTTGACCTAA